TCCTGCTTTCTGGAGAGTTTTAATCATAAATGGATGTTGAATTTTGTCAAAGGCTTTTTCTGCATCTATTGAGATAATCATATGGTTTTTATCTTTCAATTTGTTAATGTGGTGTATTACATTGATTGATTTGAGGATATTAAAGAATCCTTGCATTCCTGGGATAAAGCCCACTTGGTCATGATGTATGATTTTTTTAATATGTTGTTGGATTCTGTTTGCTAGAATTTTGTTAAGGATTTTTGCATCTATGTTCATCAGTGATATTGGCCTGTAGTTTTCTTTTTTTGTGGCATCTTTGTCTGGTTTTGGAATTAGGGTGATGGTGGCCTCATAGAATGAGTTTGGAAGTTTACCTTCTTCTGCAATTTTCTGGAAGAGTTTGAGTAAGATAGGTGTTAGCTCTTCTCTAAATTTTTGGTAGAATTGAGCTGTGAAGCCATCTGGTCCTGGGCTTTTGTTTGCTGGAAGATTTCTGATTACAGTTTCGATTTCTATTCTTATTTAACAATAAAAAGCATACTTCCTTACCGAGTATTTCACTGCATGACTATTTTGAACTAAGCAATTTTCTTTCCTGGGCCATAAACCACATTGCTGTTCAAATAAATGAAGTTATCAGACACCATAGGCTCTTATTTTATTTACTTATAAGGCTAGAATGGTTTAAAAATAAACATTCTAATAATTGGACAGTGCTCTGAAAAGTACAGAAATTGTCATTCTAGGAGTTTACGGTTTCTGAGCACAAGCCAATGAAACAATGCCATTTGCAGCAACATGGAAGGACCCAGAGCTTTTCATACTGAGCAATATCAGACAAAGACAAATATCACACCACTTAGATGTGGAATCTAAAATCATGTTACAAACGAAGTACTTACAAAACAGAAACAAACTCACAGACTTAGAGAATGAATTCATGGTTATCAGAAGGGAAGGATGGGGAGAAGGTATAGTTAGGGAGTTTGGGATGGACATGTACACACTGCTATATTTAAAATGCATAACCATACAAATTGTGAAATTATTTGTTCTAGTTCTGTGAAGAATATCATTGGTAGCTTGATAGAGATTGCATTGAATCTATAGATTGCTTTGGATAGTATACTCATTTTCACAATATTGATTCTTCCAATCCACGAACACGGTATATTTCTCCATCTATTTGTGTCCTCTTTGATTTCTTTCATCAGTGTTTTATAGTTTTCTATGTATAGGTCTTTTGTTTCTTTAGGTAGATATACTCCTAAGTATTTTATTCTCTTTGTTGCAATAGTGAAGGGTATTATTTCCTTAATTTCACTTTCTGTTTTCTCATTGTTAGTGTATAGGAATACAAGGGATTTCTGTGTGTTAATTTTATATCCTGCAACTTTACTATATTTATTGATCAGCTCTAGTAATTTTCTGGTAGAGTCTTTAGGGTTTTCTATGTAAAGGATCATGTCATCTGCAAACAGTGAGAGTTTTACTTCTTCTTTTCTTATCTGGATTCCTTTTATTTCTTTTTCTGCTCTGATTGCTGGGGCCAAAACTTCCAAAACTATGTTAAATAGTAGTAGAAGAAATCAGCTCTGAAAGAGACACATGTACCCCAATGTTCATTGCAGCACTGTTTATAATAGTCAGGACATGGAAGCAACCTAGATGCCCATCAGCAGATGAATGGATAAGAAAGCTGTGGTACATATACACAATGGAATATTACTCAGTCATTAAAAAGAATACATTTGAATCAGTTCTAATGAGATGGATAAAACTGGAGCCCATTATACAGAGTGAAGTAAGCCAGAAAGATAAACACCAATACAGTATACTAACGCATATATATGGAATTTAGAAAGATGATAACAATAACCCTATATGCAAGACAGAAAAAGAGACACAGATGTAGAGAACAGACTTTTGGACTCTATGGGAGAAGGCGAGGGTGGGATGATCTGAGAGAAGAGCATCGAAACGTGTATATTATCAAGTGTGAAACAGATCGCCAGTCCAGGTTGGATGCATGAGACAAGTGCTCGGGGCTGGTGCACTGGGATGACCCAGAGGGATGGGATGGGGAGGGAGGTGGGAGAGGGGTTCAGGATGGGGAACACATGTAAATCCATGGCTGATTCATGTCAATGTATGGCAAAAACCACTACAATATTGTAAAGTAATTAGCCTCCAACTAATAAAAATAAATGGGAAAAAAAGAAAAAAGAAAAAGTAAAGAATTATAGCAACCTGAAAAAATAAAATAAAATGCATAACCAACAAAGATCTACTGTATAGCACAGGGAACTCTTCTAAATGTTATAGGGCAGCCTGGATGGGAGGGGAGTCTGGGGGAGAATGGATACCTGTATATGTATGGCTGAGTGGCTCTGCTATGTACCTGAAACTATCACAACATTGTTAATTGACTATATTTCAGTATAAAACAAAAAGTTAAAATAAAATTAAAAAAAATACTCATGGTAGGATTTATGCAACTCTATTATTTTGCTGCCAAGTTTCTAAGCTGTTCTGCAGAGAAAGCATGCATGGGTGCTAAGCATATATATGGAACTTTGTAATTTGAAGAGACAGTTATTGTGTTATTGGACGAGAAGCTAGGATATTTCATACATTTGTGCTGTTAACAACCCACAGGGTGATAATTATTCTACCTATTTTACAAAGGCTCGGAGAAGTTCAGTATATCATGGGACAGGTCTAGGTCACACCTTGAGTAAGGGCTAGAACTCAATCAGACCCTGGGTCAGGTGAGCCCAACGCAGCATCAGGAGCCCTCATCTCAAAGTTACTAGAGGACACAACAGACAATCCCACTCCAGGCAACAGTGACTTACCTTTATCATTCTCACTTCTAAGTTTTTAAATTTCTTTTTTTTTTTTTCATTATGACCTCATCTTTAAATGCAAATGAATGCTCAGATTTGAAACTCATGGACAATATCTTCTAGCCTACTTACTCTTTCTACTGAGACTCTTACAATGAATGTTCCTCCTGAATAATGTGTGTGTGTTTCATAGTAAAAAGTTTAAGGAATTTCAAATACATTGGGCTTTTTTCCATTAGACAGCTATGGTTATACAGAAAACAATCTTAATTAACCAGGCAAAGTAGTAGTCTCAGATATCTAGGTCAGGATCAGCTTCTGGGTTTCCTATTTCTTTTCCTCCCCTTTGTCTTGAGGATGATTACAATGTGGGCATTTGACAAGGCATGCTGTGACTATTTCTTGCAACTGTAAAGCTGGGGTTTTCTAGATGCAACACTATAAATAAGCTTCAGTGTTAAAAAAATTTTATATATATATATGCATATATATATGCATTTTTATATATATATATGCATATATTTAGAAAGTTTTTCTACATGACTGCAAACCAAGAACTGTTAAAGACAATGAAGGCCATGATAACAATAGGAACATTTTTAGAAGACTGAGGCATTAATGGAGTCATGCATTTATTGACTGAAGATGCACAATGACCAGCCTCATGACCCAATTTTCTGGGGGATCCCCTATTTCATATAATTATATTGAAAATCTATATTATATACAGCAAGGTAATACTTTTCCCTCTAGTTTTAGTTAATAAATGCAACATGATCTAATAGGGAAATAAGCCTATGTCTTCAAACCAGAATTTCTCAGGAGACTCTCAATATTTAATCCAGAACCTAAGATCAGCTTTGTTGTAGGCTGTACATGAACGTATATACTTCTGTAACACACTGACTGCCTTACTCAAAGTACAAAATCTCTTTTCGTATGTCACTGTGGCTCCTCCTGGCCTCTGGATTCACACAGAAATCCCTACTTACTATAAAGCACAGGAAGCCCAGCTCAGTGCTCTGTGATGACCTAGACAGGTGGGATGGGGAGAGGGAAGTATGTATACATATGGCTGGTTCACTTCACTGTACTGCAGAGACTAACACAGCATTGTAAATCAATTAAAACAATAACAACAACCACATTCTTGAAGAATTCTTGCTACCTGTTTGTGTTAAATGAGCAAAAGATTTACAACCTAACAGTAAGTAAAGTCATCAGTAAATGCTACGTGATGGTTATCTTGTGTCCAACAGAAGCTGATGCAAAACCACAAAGATTTAATGAATAAAGACCATTTCATTTGACAGTAATGTGTATGACTTGATATTGGGAACTAGAATATAGAGCAGAGACATACCTTGGGATCTCAGTGTCTTTGTTTCCATCAGGAGGACAGGGAAGGGTCTGACTTGCTCATCAGCTGCTCCCCAATGCCTTGCCTCCTGTCTGCCGCCGTATGGTAGGCAACTGACGCACACCTACCGAAAAAATGAATGAATGAGTGAGTCAGTGAATCAGTGACCAAGAGTCCTAAATTCACTGCACCAAATATAAAAAGAATGTAGTCTACATTTAAGGAAAACAAAGTAGTCTATGCATGTTAAGATTCCTGGCAGATTTAAGTAAGCTTCAAACCTTGAGGGAAACAATTTTTCAAATTACCATTTACAACTTAGTAATGAGAACACTATAAAAGTCAATCTATAGTAATTTGATTGTGTAAATCAAAACCAGAGAAGGCACTCTGGTTGGTCTAGCCTACTGTCAACCTAAATTAATTCCAGTGACCCAGGACAGACCTTTGCCAAGCAAGAGCCATTTATTATGAGAAGGTCTGGGAGAAGATCACAAAAGGAAATTTACTACAACATGGGTGGGTCCTTTAAGCTAATTGGAAAGCATGAGACCCACTGATAAATTTACTAATGGTGTGGACCATAAAAAAGTTTGGAAATAGGTCAGAATAGAGAACCCAGATGGTTTCAGAATTGCTGGGCACAGCAGATTCTAGCAAATAAATCCTACAATTAGGGAAAGGAATCCAGCGCCATTTGCACAGTCCCATCTTGACCTGGCACTCAAAGTCATCACAGATCTAATTCTGCTTCTACCCTTGTAAATAAAGTCCCTGTCACAACTGACTCTTTCACATTTATCTTTCAGGCCCTGCTGCAAAAAAGAAGTATGTCAGTTATAATAACCTGGTTATCTAACCTGTTCCATTCCATGGAACCATGGAGGAGGACGACCCTCAGTTATTTTGTCACCCAACCTGGCATTGGACTCTTTTGGTCCAGCCTGCTGCCCATCACCAGAGGAGCATCCCCGGCCAGGAGACCAATGGTAGAGGATCCAAGTGTCCTACACAGCTGCTTTATGAAATATTCTTACTTTATCTTGGCTTAATAAGTCACTGGCATCAGCACTGCCAACTCGGCTGCAACTCTGGACTTTCCCTACCAAAGGGAGCATTGAGACTCAAGTCCCACTCAGGCTCTTGAGGGTGAACCCCTTGAGAGCCTCAATGACCGTTTTTGGGGCTGCCTAGTCTTTCTACGTCTGTACTTCCAGGCTGCAAGGTTTTGAAATTTTCTGTACAGTTTGTGAGGACTTTTGCACTTTGCCATCCAATGTTGTACCTCGGTTCACTGTTTGTTTTCGAATGCCCTGTTTTCATAGAACCCTATTCTTTCAGATGGCGGAATCTTTGGGGAAAACTTTGAAATGATTAAAATTTTAAAAGGCTCTCGGCAGACTAAAAAGAAAAAATGTATGTACGTGACTGTATAATTATGATTATAGTACCGCTGCAAATCATGTTATTTTTTTTTAAAGACAAAAAAAAAGACATTTAAAGACCAAAAACTGTGCTGAGAAAAGTATACCTTACCTGTCTTTGGTATGAGATAGGTCACGAGGGAAAAAGGTATTGGCTGAACGGAATAGAGGTCTTGATCTTGAGAATGCATGCTAGTAATGTATTTTACAGTACACGTTACTCATTTATGTTCAATATTTGTATTTGTGTTCCCTTTTGTTACTTTAATTAGGATATGGGTACTTTGCAATAATTTTAATAATGATTAAACTATTTGAAGGAAAAAATATGGATTTTTCATGTCTTGAGGTTTGGTTCATGCCCCCCTATGACTGATCAGTGTGATAAGGACTTTAAAAAAAAGAGCATGTATGTTTTTTACTGTTTGTAAGAAGTACTTTCGTTAATCCTGCTGCTCATGTGCCAATTTAGTGAAGAAACACCCTTGCTGAAAAATTCCCCTTTCCATTCTCTTTCAATTCTGTGATATTGTCCAAGAATGTATCAATAAAATACTTTGGTTAACTTTTTTATTTCCCGCAATAAATATTTTTAGTTGTTTATCCCTTTTTAGTGACAGCTGCTTTCATACTTATTTTAAATTAGGGAACCACGTGAACAGTCAAGCCTGTTAAAAGCTCACATCTTAGCCCACAAATGAAGATGTAGCTGACAGACATTTATTAACTCTTTGTCATCATTTAAGTCCCTAAGTTGTGTCCGAGTCTTCTGCGACCCCATGCACTGTAGCCCACCAGGGACCTCTGTCCATGGGATTTCGCAGGAAAGAATACTGGAGCAGGTGGATCATTTCCTTCTCCAGGGGATCTTCTCTACCCAAGTATCAAACCCACATCTCCTGTACTGGCAGTTGGATTCTTTACCCCTGGGCCACCAGGGAAGCCCATATATTAACCCAAAGGTGCTAATTCTCTCATAGAAAAGCTGCTTCTAAGCCCATACATTCCACTTCTTCATAATTGAAGTTGAGACCTAACCATCTCAGACACTTTTTCAGAGCGTTATCTATCCAAAATAGTAAGAATGCGAGAGGGAAGAGAAAAATAAAGAAGCAGCACAAGCTTCAATAAATAGCAGTCTAGGTCAATGTAGTAAAACGATAAACACATCCCCAAAACTTAACCAAAGGAGAAGTAAATAAAGATAACTAGTATACAGAATTTGTCTATATTTTCAAATAAATAGGTTGGCCATGCAGATGATAAGACTAAGATTTGGGGTTACCAAAGTTCAACAGGAGGGAATGGCCTTATAGATCAACTTGTAGTAACTTGGGTTTCAGAAGCACAAAATAACGTCCCTTTGCAGAGAGTGATACTGGTCCTTAGCACTCAGGATTAGACCATAAAATCCAAAGTGAATTTCAAGAAACCACTGTGCATCTAAGTGTAACTCGTTTTCAACTGTGATTAATAAAACCCACACCTAATTCCACCTTTGGCATCTTCTGACCTCTTCCTGCCACCCCTTAGCTCGCTCAGCCCAGGTAATGTATGTGCAAAGAATAGAAAATTCACTTCACCATCAGCTGAAGAAAACTAGTCTATCCCCCAGGTTCTCCTATCCCTCAAACACCCTTCAAATTCTGCCATTTTGCAAACCTCCACTCATTCTGGACTGAGGGTTAGGGTTATAGGCTCCCATCATTGTTTAAAGGACATCTGTGTTTTTGCTCCCTAGAATTCTTTAAAATCAACTTCAGGCAAAATTTTCTACGTACTCACTTGGGTCTGTTTAAATTGTTTTCCTCTCTTTTTATGGTGTCAGGACCAGACAACTCAGAATTCTACTCTTAAGTGCCTCCCCATGCTCTTGGGATTGCCATCTTTTTGTTTCCAGTCTCAGGCTTATTCAGTTCAGTCAGTCAGTTCAGTCGTTTAGTCGAGTCCGACTCTGCGACCCCATGAATCGCAGCACGCCAGGCCTCCCTGTCCATCACCAACTCCCAGAGTTTACTCAAACTCATGCCTATCGAGTTGGTGATGGCATCCTGCCATCTCATCCTCTGTTGTCCCCTTCTCCTCCTGACCTCAATCCTTCCCAGCTCAGGGTCTTTTCCAATGAGTCAACTCTTCGCATCAGGTGGCCAAAGTACTGGAGTTTCAGCTTCAGCATCAGTCCTTCCAATGAACACCCAGGACTGATCTCCTTTAGGATGGACTGGTTGGATCTCCTTGCAGTCCAAGGGACTCTCAAGAGTCTTCTCCATCACCACAGTTCAGAAGCATCAAATTTTTGCTGCTCAGCTTTCCTCACAGTCCAACTCTCACATCCATACATGACCACTGGAAAAACCATAGCCTTGACCAGACGGACCTTTATTGGCAAATTTTAACTTTTTGGAAGCTGTCTTTCCGAAGTCTCATGTGGCCACCAGGCTAGGTGCAGGCTGCTGCCCCAGACTCCAGAGCCCAGATGATACTGGTGTTTCCCCCTAAGCTTCCTTTTGACCAGATCCTCCTTGGTGGTCTGAATCATCAGGTTCAAGAAGAACTTATCTTCTCTTCACCACCCCCTTGGGTGTAAAGGCAGAGGTAGGGCATTCAGTCAACACATGATTTGAGTGCCTCCTGTGTATCAGACATTGTTCTATATTCTCAGGGAAACAACGCTTAGACAGGAAGTCACACCCCTTGCCGTCAAAAAGCTTGCATTCAAGAGGATTGTTAAGCATTTCTTGGATGCTGCTCTTTGACCCCTAGCTTCCCTGGTGGCTCAGATGGTAAAGAATCCACCTTCAATGAGGGAGATCTGAGTTCGATCCCTGGGTTGAGAAGACCCCTGGAGGAGGGCATGGAAACCCACTCCAGTATTCTTGCTTGGAGAATCCCATGGACAGAAGAGCCTGGCAAGCTACAGCCCATGGAGTCGCAAAGTGTCAGATATGACCGAACGACTAAGCACAGCACAGCAGAGCACTCTGGCCCAGAGGTGATCTTGTTAAGAGAGACAACCCAATTCACTGTAGAAATACACAAATTTAGAGCTGGCCTTTCCTCAATGAGCTTTTTCCCTTCCTCCACTGAGTTTCTTCTCTTTCTCCACAGCCACCTCACTTCCACTTGGAAAGCCGGACCATGCCAATTCTTTATTCTGCTTGTTGTTCCTTTGTGTTTGTTACGCTGTGGGCTCCAAGAGCACATGGAGAGCCGAGGAGGAAGACCCCAGCCATGTACACACCTGGTTCCACAGCTGAGAAACTGCATTTGCCTCTCAACTGCAGAGGTCTATTTAGGACAAGAAAAGGAGATCCCAGGGAGTGGTTATTCTAACCTTGAGTGAGCCAGCAAGCCACATCCTCTATTAGAGTAACTGGCACATTACTGTTTACCTTCTCCTTCAAATAAGCAGGGCTTTCCGGCAAGTTCTGCACTGGCTACTGAGCAGGACCGTGACAGAGTCCGTCGCAGTGACTGTTACCCTTCCGGTGAACGTTTACTGCCAGAGAAACTGGTCAGGCAAACCATACTGGCCCTTGAGCCAAGGGAGGTGGCTGCGTTTACTACTGCCTGGACGTTTCGTGCATAAATTCATCAGGTACTTGGTATGTGCTTAGAACTGTGTTAACTGATTCTTATTCATCCCACTTAATCTTAAAAACAGCTCTATGTGAGAGAGATTAATATTATCCTCATTTTCAAGAGTAAAAATGAGAATGATTCCCCTACTATTATGCAGTTGATAAGTAGCAAAGCTGGGACTGGAGCAAAGCTTCCCAGGTGGCGCTAGTGCTAAAAAACCTGCCTGTCAAAGCAGGAGACTTAAGAGAAACGGGTTCAATCCCTGGATTGGGAAGATCCCCTGGAGAAGGGCAACCCACTCCAGTATTCTTGCCTGGGAAATCCCATGGACAGAGGAGCCTGGAGGGCTACAGTTCTTAGAGGGTCACAAAGAGTCAAATATGACTGAAGTGACTTAGCACACACTCAAAGCTGGGACTAGAAGCCAGATCTCACTGACTCTGGACCCAATACTACAAAACATTCAATTGTAATGCCCAGAACATGCTATCCTGTTCTCCCTGAAACAGCAATTACAATCACCATAAATAAAATAATAAATTTCTAACCACAATAAGATTTTACAAGATGAGTCCTTGTATGAAATATACACTATAATAATTACTATAAGGATAGATTCTTAAACAGTATTTATAGTAATTGTTATAGAAAAATGCCCATACTGTTATTTTCAATATAATTCTAACTATATTAATACATGTGCATATGCCAAGGTAAACTGAACAAAATATATAAAATGAACTAGGAAAATATAAATGATTATTTTTATTCAATTTGTTTTCCCTGTACTTTTGTTTCCTTTGCAATGAACACACAGTACATTTATAAATCAGTGGGAAGTGCTAATTTTAAA